TGTATCTTGTTTTTTGGAGGGTAATGATTTTGGGGTTGCTTGCAAGGGAAACCAAAGGGACGCCAGCATTTTGGGGTCGGAGATGAAGGGAAATACAAGGACGCCGACCATTGTTCAGGTTAGCCTCAATTGGTTTGTATTAGTTCGGGGATTTGATTCTTGAAAGGGGAAACTATCCAACCTTCACACCTCCAAACCCGAGGGGAGCCAACCATTTTCGGAGACCTCCCAAATGCTAGGGGACCCCACAATGGTGTTTTTCTCTTTGGTGTCCCTTTACAGCAACCCCTAAAAAGGGGGTATCAACTTAAGACAAGATGTTGGGTATGTTTCAAAATGAGAGCTGGAACTGCCATAGCCCCATGGTTTTCCTTGTAGTTTCTCAAGCAACCCAAAAAAGCACGACCCTCGTAGAAAAAGAAGACCCGTCCGCCCGCGAGTTTCGCGATCTCAGGGAGCTTTGGCCAAGGTGCGGCGCGGATGCCCAGACACGAGCGACAAGTGGTCCTTTTTGGGAGTTGGTACCCCTGTTTCGTTGGCTTGAGCCATTTTGGGGTCCCCCCCAAAAAAGAGACCCATATGGCGGTGATTTTTTTTTGAGGGTCTGTAACCGAGCCGCGGCGAACATTCGTTACCTCGTTGCAGACCTCTGCAACAAGACCCGCGGGCTCGCTACACACCCCTTGTTGCATACCTTCGTGACACACCTCGCATGAACATTCTTCGTTGAAAAACCCCGATGCATACCCAGACTCTCGGTGATTTTTCATGAGTGGCTGCAGAGCAGACGCTTGCAGAGCATGCTTTCGCTGAAGAGTCAACTTGCAGTCAACTAGTAGGGAGAAAGAACCCCCTAAACACCCCCCTAGATATGCGGGACAAAGTGCCGGACAAAGTGCGGGACAAACTGCTGGACAAACAACTGTCCGGCAAGTTGTCCGGGGGGTTGTCCGGAGGGTTGTCCGCGCGCTTTGCCGAACTTTCCTTTGAGTGATTGTCGAGTGGTTTCCGAGCGGTTTTGAGCGGGTTCCGAGTGGTTTTCAAGCGGTTTCCGAGTCGTTTTCGAGCGGTTTCCGAGTGGTTTCCGAGTGGTTTTGGCGTGTTCCAAACCTGTCCGAAGACTTGTGCGGGGGATTGTCCCGGTTTTTGGGCTGTCCGGAGGGTTGTCTGGAGGTTTGTCCGGGGGTTTGTCCCGGGCTTTTGGGCCCTCAAAGCTGTCTGGAGGGTTGTCGGGCCGGGGAGTTGTCCCGCCAATTTTGTGCCCTCAAAGCTGTCCGGGGGTTTGTGTGCGGGGTTGTCCGGGGGGGTTGTCCGGGCCCAACAGGTGTTTGTGCAGAACCGCCTCGGTCAATCCCTTTCTGTGCTGTGCCTCGCTACAAGCCTCGACACATAGCCGTTGCAGACCTCGTTACACACCCAACCCAGCCCTCTTTCAGCAACCCCCTTTCCACCGTCGCTTGGCTTGCGTTGAGGAGTTGCAAATTTCGAGCTGCAGCTGGTGCCTCGCTACACGCCTCGATGCACAGCCGTTACAGACCTCGTTGCAGACCCAACCTCAGCCCGGGCCGGCGACCCCCTTTTTGCGTCGCTTGGCTTGCGTTGATAGTTGCATTTTTTGAGCTTGAGCTCCACATTGCGCTACTGATACTTGTCAAGCGCACACCCGTTATTTAGATTCGTGCTGCGTCGCGCGATGCATAACCTTGTATACCTACATGTATATCGTATATAAAGTACATAAAGTATATACATATGAGGGCCGTCCTAAAACCCCAGTCTTCGGTTTTAATCATCGCCGAACAGGGAGAAGTAAAAGTTGTCAAAAGCTGTGCGCGCGCAAGGAGCGCGCAAGTGCGGCCCAAGGGACGCGCAAGGTTACAGTTTTGAAGGGTTTCATGTACTGATGTTGCCTAGCTTCAGGAAAGGAGGTGATATTTTCTTGCTGTACTTGTGCCTTTCGAATCAGTCAGACGCCAAACGAAGCCAAAGCCCAAAGCTTCTGCGGTCATGACTTCAACAATCAGCAATTGACACGACAAAATCCGCGCAAGCCGCGCGCAAGCCGCGCGCAAGTTGCGCGCAAGCACGAGAAGCCCCAGCAAGACATCTAGCCATGCTGTCTCGGATGTCCTTAGCGGCGCGGTTCAAGCAATGGATAGGCACCCGCAACATGCACTTTCTTTCTTTCAGGCTGTGTTCAAGCTGTGTGGCAGAGCCTGCTGTTCTTTCTGTTGGGTCAAGGGTATGTTGCTGGCATTGAATTGCCGGGAGCGACCTCAGCGGGAAAAGTCTTTGTGGGTTGCTGTGTGAACGACAAACACACTGCTTAGAAAAGCTTGTGCGCAATCCGCACGAAAACTTCGCAAACCGAGGTCAACGAAAACGAGTTTCTGCGCCGCTGTGCGCGCGCAAGTACGCGCAAGTGCCGCGCAAGCGCGGCCCAAGGGCCCAATCGCGGGCAAAGGAATATAGGACAACCCCCATATATGTCATGGACGACACCGTCCTGGGCTGTGACGGACGTCGAGGCCCATAACAAAGCGCTTGATCCGAAGCACCACTTGCGCAGCTTGGAGAGCTTGCCTTACAGGCGCGGGTCGCAACAGCAAGACCCAGCGCTGACCGAGCCCGGAGATGCCGGCCTCCATTTGGAATACGTGCAAATATTTCAAGCTGTCCACACTAAGGTCCCCGAAAGGCAAAGCATTGGGCAGAAGCTGCATCTCTATCTTGGCAAAACACGATCTCGGCGGTTTTGGGTGTCCACAGGGAAATGATCTTAGAACTATAGCAACTTGCCATCGATAGTGGGCGTGTGCTGGTCTGACTGTTCAAAATCAGAGAGAGACTTCGGATGTGCCTCAGTCCCTATTTCTCTTCCCCCAGCCCCCAGCCGCTCCTGTGCGAGTATATCTTGCAGCCCCGCAGCAAGTGACACTGCGGATGGACGAAATCCTGCACTAGCTGAGACGGATGAACCCCGCGTATGCATAGGACAAGCCATCGACTGGTGCGAAGCGATGCGATTTGTCCATCCACGGCAGCATTCGGATTCTTTTGGCGTCTCCAGTTCTTGGTGGTTTGGGAGATCCCCTTACATCTACGGATACCTTCCTGGCTAACATGAAACCTGGCTGAGGGCTCCGATGATTCTCCTTTAGACCCTGTGGGTTCCATGTACCGGAGGGCTCATACTGATGGACGAAATCCTGCACCACCGACACCCTGGAATGATGATTTGTGTGCAAGTACCCACCAGAATTGATTTCCCAAAGTTTCACCGTGCGAACGAATCTCGTGAATCGGGGGTCATCCACTCAAGCCGACTTCGCTCCAAGGCGCTCTTGGACCAGAGCTCGGCGTTCCTGCAGGCACCGGCGGCCAGGCTTTTCGAGTTGTTTTTTGCTTAAGGAAAACAGTCATGAAATAACATGAAATAACATGAAATAACAATAATAATATTAATAATAATAATGATAATAAAATTAACAATAATAATAGTAATAATAATAACAGTAATAATAGTAATAATAATAATAATAATAATAATAATAATAATAATAATAATAATAATAATTAATATTAATAATAATAATAATAATAATAATAATAATAACAATAATAATAATAATAATAATAATAATAATAACAATAATAATAATAATAATCATAGTAATGATAATAATAATAAATAATAGCCCTGGGGTTCCAAAGGCGGTTTATTTTGCATGTTTTCTGTGAAAGGCGTTTTTTTTGCCAGGAGCAGTTTTGTCCAAGCTCAGCTGATATCATTGAGCAATTCGGGGGCCGCACGTGCTCAGAACCAAAGTGTGCAAAGACTTGACCTCCGTTCCCACAAAACAAGCAGAGGGATTACCAAAGGACAGGCTGAAACACATAGATTCACCGGTGTCAAAATTCACGGCAGAAAACGTGCTTTCACGCTGGAAAAAACAGGCTTTCACGTCAATTTCACGGTATTTTCACGGTGATTTCACGCTACTTTTGCGTACATCACGGACCGCTATGTTCACACCAAAATTGTTGTGTCAAAGACATGTTGGGGTGGAACAGGCTTTGTAGAATCTAAACGTGGCAACAGCACAAATAATCCATCAAATACCACGCCATGGCTCATTGCAGGCGCAACAAACAGGCTTTAGCTGCAAGAAACTGGCGAGGTGCAAAGGACGTTTAAAAAACAGTCGTGGATTTCCAGGGATAGTAGTAATAAACAAAAACATATATATATATATAACTCTTTTATCTATTTACGTTTTTGGTTGTGGCCAGGGCCAGGCTACCCTTTGACGGTTTGGATGTGGTTTGGATTTGGAATTGAACCCCTGAGTTTTGATTGTAAATCGGAAACTACAACGGGAGCACCTCCAAGCACCAGACCACCATGGGTGTGTATTTTTGTTTGGGTACCCTTTTCGGCTCTAGAAGAAACCAAGGTCGTTTGGTCTATGGAAGATTCGGTAGGAATCCAACACACACACACACACATCCATGTGTCAAGATACGACAAGGGCGGATTTGTTCTTTTGGTTCCCTCTGAAACCCAAAAAGCGAAGCCTCAACCAAAAGATACACACCCGCTTCAGCAACTTGGGGTCTCACATATTTTGTCTCACCAGACTTCACGCGCCTGCAGTGCAGGCGCAGGCGGCCAATGCTCAGCAAGCCCAGCAGGCCCTCATGAGGGGACATTGACCGAATGGTATTTTGCTCCTCGCAAAAGAACGATACCCGGTCAAGCGAGTCACGATGCGGCCATCAGTTTTTTTGTTTGCCTGCGTGAAAAAAAAGGAATCGTTGACGCACTTTTCTTTTGCGGGGCAGAGCTTCCAATGAGGAGCTCCGCTAAAGATCTAGGCCACAACGTGCCGCACTGCCAATGTTGCAGCTTGCACAGCTGTGCACAATCGCGCGAAATGTGGCTGCTCGCTGTGTCTGCCTCAGCTTTATCCAGAATGCTCACGAAACGCCGATTGCAGGGGTCCGTATGAGGATGAGTGCCGTTCTGTTGGGGCCTCTGCGTCAGGCAAGCTTCCCTCACATGCAGCTTTTTTGGGTGCGGGATTTGGTGAGCTTTGATCAAGGCATCCAGGCGAGCAGAGCCTCCCGAGAATGCCGACAGCTGAGCATGTGTAAAAGTCTGCACTTTAATATCCATTGAGTGCTCTTCAATTCAGGCCTCTCTCGGCGGTGCCGAGCTTATCAGCGATTGAGTCTTGCCAAACGCTATACTCCACGTGCCATGATCATGTGTCTTGGTTGAGTGGCCACCCTTTGGCTTGGTTTCAAAGGAAAGTCAAATGGACCAAAAAACATATTATTATTTTTTTGGGGGGGGGACAGGCATTTGCCACTTTCTTTGTTGCCTCGAGGTGCGCGGGCTGCCATCACGGCTGCAGCAGAGGCTTCGCCGGTGGCCACGCTGTGCTTACACTTGGCTCTGGTTCAAAACCAATGGGATCCCATTTTGGGATACCCAATTTACACTCCAGGTTCAAAGCGTAGTTTATTGTGGAGGTCACTTGGCTGTGGGTCAAAACCGTTTTTGTACCATTTTGGGATAGGTGCACCACCCATTTTCGAACCTATTTTAGTGGTTGGATTGGGATGTTCACTGCGGGTACAATTTGGGTTTTGACCCATGGCCGCTTGGCTCTGGGCAAGGCCGGCACTGCCGCGCTGGACGCCGCTCTCCGGAGATTCTGGCCAGCGCAAGACCCGCAAGCGGGGAAAATCAGACACGAGCGCACCAACACATGCAACACATGCACATGCGCGAGCTGCAGGATGGTTAAACTGTGCCTGTTGGAGGCTGCATGGTCACTCTGTGATTGTGCAATCTCTTGCATGCTGCACTTTTGGTTCGATAGAATCTTGGCGCTTAGGGTAGGTCTTTACTGGGTTTTACCGCCAGTCACGGGGAATCTGTGACATTATGGCTACGTCCAGTGGAGTTGCTGAGACCGTCCAAGATGTGGAAATGCCTGCGGCCAACGGGGCAAGCTCGTTGACACAGAACGACACTCAGAACGACACGCAGAAGAGCACGAGGCACAGATTGCGTTCCAAAGCTGCACCGTCGCAGGAATACATTTCGCAGATGCACTGGACTGATGAAGAAGGCAAGGAGAGAGCCAAGTTGCTAAGCAAGCTCTCCCGCTCTCTACCAGACGCGCCAAGTCCCGCCTTGTCAGCTTGGCTGATTTTTTGTAACGAGTACTCTGCGAAGAAGGGGGTTGCAGGTGGCGCGATCTTCGCAGAAGCCGGCAAGCATTGGAAAGCCTTGAGCGCTGAGGAAAAGACGCCTTATGAGGAGAAGTCCAAGGAGCTGAAAGAGAGCTCCAAGGTGGAGCTGGAGAAACTGAAGGACAGCCCTGCTTACAAGGACTTGTGTTCGGAGGTCGACAAGTTGCTCCTGGTGAATCGGGCAAGAACGACCTTGCACAAGAAGGAGCTCTCATGGAAGCAGTGGAAAGCTACGCTCTGTGTCAAAGCTCCAGGTGCCACAATCAAAATTTGGGTAGATGAAGGTTACTCCCTTTCCTAATGCTACACCCCCCCCTCCCTAATACTAAGTCGGGTCCCCAGCATTAGGGAGAAGGGATTAGTAAGGGACACTCCCGACGAGAAATAAGTGCGGCCGCCTTGTGTACTCTTTAGATGGTTTCGGGTTCACCATTTTAATACCAGGTTTTGATTGTGACTCAAGTAGCCCTTAGTTGGTGGTTTGGAGCCGAATCGGTGGCTTGGGGGTTTGAACACCTCTTGTAGAGGGTAAATGGGAAAGCCCTCCTGAACCGCCAAACCAGTTTTGATCCTCAGGTGCGAGCCATAGCAAGGCCGAAGAGCGCGCAGAAGCGAATTGCATCAATCGGATTGCCCTGAAGCTCGCCGCAGCGGCAAGGAAGAAGTCGCCGGAGAGTGCCCTGCCGATTCCGCCCAAGTCCGCCTATGCCCTCTTCTGCGGTGAGGTGGCTGTGGGTCAAACTAATGGTATTTTGGGGTAGGTGCACCACCCATTTTAGAACCTATTTTAGTGGGGATTGGGATGTTCACTCGGGGTACGGGCTTTTGACCCATGGCCAGGTTATGTCTCTTGAGATGAAGAAGGAAGAGAAACCGTCCATGAAGGACGTCCTCAAGAGGGTTGCGGCGCAATGGTCGAGCCTAGAGGAGGACAAGAAGTCCGGCTACGTCAAGACGGCTGCAGCAGACACACAGAGGTATGCCGAGGAGATCAAGACATGGAAAAGCTCTGAAGCTTACCAACAGTTCTTGGAAAAGGCCAAGGCTTTGTACAAGGAAGCCCTGGCAGAGGGCGGCAAGGAGATGAAGCCCATTGCCCAGATCATCAAGGATGCCGAGTTGAAGGCTAAAGGCAAAGCCACGCAAGACAAGAAGCGGTCCAAGTTGCACATGCGGCTGGCCAGCTGCATTCGAGGCGAAGGTGGCCCTCCAAAGCAAGCTCCGCACCCCTTCATGTTGTTTTGCAGCGCCAAGCGAGAAGATGCCATCAAAGAGCTGTCCGGAGCCGGAGAGGACAAGGACAAGGACGAGGACGAGGACAAGGAAGACAAGGAAGACAAGGAGGACAAGGAGGACGAAGATGAGCCTGAGGAAGAGGAAGAGGATGAGGACGAGGATGAGGATGAGAAGCCTAAGAAAGGCAAGAAGAAGGCAAAGGCTTCAAAGGGTTCTGGGCCAGCCAACACGGCCATCCTGAAGAAGTTGGGTGCAATGTGGACGGCTGCCTCGGCCAGTGAGAAGGAAGTCTTCGAGAAGCAGGCTGCGGACGCCAAGAAGAAGTACGCCTTGGAGCTGAAGGCCTGGTTCGAGTCGGACGCCTTCAAGAGCTTCGCCGCGGAAGTGGACGAGTGGGCGAAGACGGAGGAGGCCAAGGCCAGCAAGAAGCCCGGCAAGAGCTTCCGCGCCTGGCGCCGCAAGCAGCAGCAGCAGAAGCGCCAGGCGGACAAGCAGGCGGACCGGGAGCGCCTCAAGGCAGAGAAATTGGCAGCGCGGCAGTCGGGCAAAGCGGCCAAGGCCAAGAAGGCGGGGCTTGGGAGTCAGAAGTCGGAGATGTGGCTGTGGCTTTCAAAACTTTTTTGGGCTCCCATGTTGGTTGGGATTGGTGAATTCACCACCCATTTTAGAACCTATTTTGGTGGTTGGATCGAATCGGATGTTCACTGCGGGATAACCGATTTGGATTTTGACCCATGGCCATGTCTCACTTCCCGAGCTCCGTGTCGGAAGAAGATTGTTTTTTGGGTTGGTGGCCAGTTTGCTGGTCAACAGCAAGCTCCAGGACTTGTTTTGGCCAATGCACTCGGGAAGCGAGATGTTGATGTTCTTGGCCAGATCGAAAGCTGCGATTCCCGACTTTCACCAGGTTTGATGTTTCAACCTTCATGACCATGGGTGTGTCTCTTTTAGGCCCAAAGTTGAGGTTTTCCTTTTGGGTTGCCTTAAAGCCACAAAGGAGGGTACCCTCAGAACAAGACCCACCTCCTTGTTTTGAGCGCTCGAGCCCTTTGTTGAAATGAAATGATGAGATTCCAAGCGTTTTTCCTGAGATCAAAGTCCGCGCGGCGATGAAGTCGTTAGTTGACCCCCAGGCGTGCAAGGCTGCCGTCAATCTTGGGTGCCAAGCTAGGGAAACACAAGAATATTAATCATGTTCATAATATGTATATATATATATATATATGTGTTATATATATATATGTATTGTACACCAACACACCCACATATTCATAGTATATATATATATACAGAATATATATATATACATACATATATATAAATAATATGCATATACATACTATTATACACACACAGCCTTCAGGGTGGCAAGGCCGGCACGGAGGAAGTGGAGGCGAAGCCTTTGCCGCCGATGCTGCAGAAGGACCCCTTCTGGGAGTGCTGCCTGGAGTCCCCGGAGGCCCGGATACGAGCAGAAGCTCAGCCAGCGCGCTCGAGTCAGTGGGTCAAATTTTGAGTTGCCGCGGCTTTTCTCTTCTTACTTTTTTCTCATAAGAGTGTTGTTTTTTTTGGAGTTGGTGCGTGTTTTTTCCTTGTTTTTTCCTTTTTCAAGAGGGTTCAAAGGTAAAACCGCTTTGTTTGGGGGCTTTAAAGGTAAACCGCCATGTTTGGGGGTTTGGAGGTAAAACAGCCTCATTTTGTTTGTGGGGGTGGAGCTGATGGACACAAATTGGGTCTATCTTGCAACTTCCTTCATTTAAGGTATTGGTTTTTCAGGATTCCAGGCTGCAAAGTAGACCAAGTGTCCATGGCACATGGGGGGCGTTACGGGTAAAACAGCCTCTTTTTGTTGCAAAGGGGGGGTGCAACCCATTTTTAGACACTCATACTGTGGATGGTTACGAAATCCATTTCGCACCATTCAGAAACCCGGATGCTGGGTTACCTTAACACACTTTACCATGGAAACCTTTCATTTTGTGGTGCGCAATGGATTTCGCAACCATCCACGACTCGGCCTCCATGTTTTGAGAGTAAGGGGAAGTCAAAAGGAGACCAATGTATTTGGTTACTTTAGAGCCTCCGGCTCAGTCCGCCGACATTGTCCTCTCCCTTTTCTCCTTCTTCCTCTCTTCCTTGTCTCCCTTGTGTGTTCTGTCGTCCTCTCTCCCTCCCTCTGCTCCCATCCTCCCCATCCCCCCAAGCCTCTCTCTCCCCACTCTCCCTCTCTCGTATGTATGCATGCATGTACATATGTATGTATGTATGTATGTATGTATGTATGTATGTATGTATGTATGTATGTATGTATGTATGTATGTATGTATGTATGTATGTATGTATGTATGTATGTATGTATGTATGTATGTATGTATGTATGTATGTATGTATGTATGTATGTATGTATGTATGTATGTATGTATGTATGTATGTATGTATGTATGTATGTATGTATGTATGTATGTATGTATGTATGTATGTATGTATGTATGTATGTATGTATGTATGTATGTATGTATGTATGTATGTATGTATGTATGTATGTATGTATGTATGTATGTATGTATGTATGTATGTATGTATGTATGTATGTATGTATGTATGTATGTATGTATGTATGTATGTATGTATGTATGTATGTATGTATGTATGTATGTATGTATGTATGTATGTATGTATGTATGTATGTATGTATGTATGTATGTATGTATGTAATGTATGTATGTATGTATGTAATGTAATGTAATGTAATGTAATGTAATGTAATGTAATGTAATGTAATGTAATGTAATGTAATGTATGTATGTAATGTAATGTAATGTAATGTAATGTAATGTAATGTAATGTAATGTAATGTAATGTAATGTAATGTAATGTAATGTATGTAATGTATGTATGTATGTATGTATGTATGTATGTATGTATGTATGTATGTATGTATGTATGTATGTATGTATGTATGTATGTATGTATGTATGTATGTATGTATGTATGTATGTATGTATGTATGTATGTATGTATGTATGTATGTATGTATGTATGTATGTATGTATGTATGTATGTATGTATGTATGTATGTATGTATGTATGTATGTATGTATGTATGTATGTATGTATGTATGTATGTATGTATGTATGTATGTATGTATGTATGTATGTATGTATGTATGTATGTATGTATGTATGTATGTATGTATGTATGTATGTATGTATGTATGTATGTATGTATGTATGTATGTATGTATGTATGTATGTATGTATGTATGTATGTATGTATGTATGTATGTATGTATGTATGTATGTATGTATGTATGTATGTATGTATGTATGTATGTATGTATGTATGTATGTATGTATGTATGTATGTATGTATGTATGTATGTATGTATGTATGTATGTATGTATGTATGTATGTATGTATGTATGTATGTATGTATGTATGTATGTATGTATGTATGTATGTATGTATGTATGTATGTATGTATGTATGTATGTATGTATGTATGTATGTATGTATGTATGTATGTATGTATGTATGTATGTATGTATGTATGTATGTATGTGTATGTATGTATGTATGTATGTATGTATGTATGTATGTATGTATGTATGTATGTATGTATGTATGTATGTATGTATGTATGTATGTATGTATGTATGTATGTATGTATGTATGTATGTATGTATGTATGTATGTATGTATGTATGTATGTATGTATGTATGTATGTATGTATGTATGTATGTATGTATGTATGTATGTATGTATGTATGTATGTATGTATGTATGTATGTATGTATGTATGTATGTATGTATGTATGTATGTATGTATGTATGTATGTATGTATGTATGTATGTATGTATGTATGTATGTATGTATGTATGTATGTATGTATGTATGTATGTATGTATGTATGTATGTATGTATGTATGTATGTATGTATGTATGTATGTATGTATGTATGTATGTATGTATGTATGTATGTATGTATGTATGTATGTATGTATGTATGTATGTATGTATGTATGTATGTATGTATGTATGTATGTAATGTATATGTATGTATGTATGTATGTATGTATGTATGTATGTATGTATGTATGTATGTATGTATGTATGTATGTATGTATGTATGTATGTATGTATGTATGTATGTATGTATGTATGTATGTATGTATGTATGTATGTATGTATGTATGTATGTATGTATGTATGTATGTATGTATGTATGTATGTATGTATGTATGTATGTATGTATGTATGTATGTATGTATGTATGTATGTATGTATGTATGTATGTATGTATGTATGTATGTATGTATGTATGTATGTATGTATGTATGTATGTATGTATGTATGTATGTATGTATGTATGTATGTATGTATGTATGTATGTATGTATGTATGTATGTATGTATGTATGTATGTATGTATGTATGTATGTATGTATGTATGTATGTATGTATGTATGTATGTATGTATGTATGTATGTATGTATGTATGTATGTATGTATGTATGTATGTATGTATGTATGTATGTATGTATGTATGTATGTATGTATGTATGTATGTATGTATGTATGTATGTATGTATGTATGTATGTATGTATGTATGTATGTATGTATGTATGTATGTATGTAATGTATGTATGTATGTATGTATGTATGTATGTATGTATGTATGTATGTATGTATGTATGTATGTATGTATGTATGTATGTATGTATGTATGTATGTATGTATGTATGTATGTATGTATGTATGTATGTATGTATGTATGTATGTATGTATGTATGTATGTATGTATGTATGTATGTATGTATGTATGTATGTATGTATGTATGTATGTATGTATGTATGTATGTATGTATGTATGTATGTATGTATGTATGTATGTATGTATGTATGTATGTATGTATGTATGTATGTATGTATGTATGTATGTATGTATGTATGTATGTATGTATGTATGTATGTATGTATGTATGTATGTATGTATGTATGTATGTATGTATGTATGTATGTATGTATGTATGTATGTATGTATGTATGTATGTATGTATGTATGTATGTATGTAATGTATGTATGTATGTATGTATGTATGTATGTAATGTAATGTAATGTATGTAGTAGTAATGTAATGTAATGTAATGTAATGTAATGTAATGTAATGTAATGTAATGTAATGTAATGTAATGTAATGTAATGTAATGTAATGTAATGTAATGTAATGTAATGTAATGTAATGTAATGTAATGTAATGTAATGTAATGCATGTAATGTATGTACGTATGTATGTATGTGTGCATGCATGCATGCATGCATGCATGCATGCACATACATGTATGCATGTATGTATGTATGTAATGTATGTATGTATGTAATGTCATGTAATGTCATGTAATGTCATGTAATGTAATGTAATGTAATGTACTGTAATGTATGTATGTATGTATGTATGTCTCCTTGCACTTCCCCTTTGCTCCCCAGTATTTCCCGCAAAAAAACACGGTTTTTCCAGCGTTTTCGCAAAGAGGACGTCCAAAAACATTGAGTTTTTCCAGATTTTCGGCAAAAGGATGCAGGAAGCCCAAGCCAGCAAGAAAGCCGGCAGGGGGAATCGAGCCTGGGACCCCTGTTTTGCGACACCGGCTCCCCGAAGACTACGTTTAGTGGAACGTCATCAAATTGCCGCGCGGTACGTGGGGGACCCCCCCCCCCCAAAAACCTACGTAATAGACGTCGGGCGGGGGGGGGTTAGGGGGGGGGGTTATCCTCTATCCTCTAGTAAGTATCCGACACGCCGAGCAATGTCGGCGGATTTGTCAGTCGAAAGCTTTACTCCGGTTCCCCTCAATGGTGTTTTGGACTGCGGATTTTCACTTCTGGTTCTTGAAGGGAAGGTTACCCCCGAACTTCCAAACCATCAAGCCAAACCAACTAGGGAGCTCGGGGTTTGGAAGCTGATGTACTGCACTCGAAACTGATTCCCTAGTTGCGATGAACAACGAAACCATCCTGCAAGTGTGTCGCGATGACCAGTCGGAATGTCTGCGGAAAGGGCCCGTGGATTCGCCGCGACGTGGAGATCTGCAAAGCCAGCGCATGCCCCACACAAGTCAAGATATAGGTGTGTCCTCTTTTATGGTTGGACCCCTCAAAATGGCTTTGTTGTTCCTTTGGTTTCCCTTTACAACCACAAAAGTTGTATCTTCAAAAGACACTTGTCGGTTTCCCGTCAAAACCATACAAACATGCCCCCCCCCCCCCCCCACCTATTTTGAGAACCACAGTTTGTGCGTTTCCCGCGCTTAACCTCGAATCTCCGTTCAGCCAAGGCCAAGCTTGTACCAAAGACCCACCGGTTATCCAGGACATGGGGGGATGAGCTCTGGACTCCTCCTTCTCCCATGTCCTCTCTCTTTTTTTGGCCGCTCATCTCTGCAGATGGGGGTTTCTCAAGGGCCCCATCCAGGTTTCCTCTCAAGACTATCCAACAAGTGGCTGCACGCCCCCCCCCCCCATCCGATGTCAGCCCTGTCTTCAGGCCTTTGTGGCCTCAGCAGATCTCATCGTGGGGGACCGCATTGCATTGGCTGCAGCCATGGAGGGTGGTGCCGCACTCAGCAAAAATCGACCCTGGATTCCACCGATTCCCCAGAAACCGGGCGGGGGGGGGGTGGATTCACCAATAAAATGGGACATCCCCCGATCAAAATCATTTGAGGTCAATTAGTCACGGGTTGGAATTGCCATGTCCGGGACACCTTTGGGGAGGGCGGGTCTGCCCCAGAAAGCGCTGGCAGAAAGCGGGAAGTTCCGGGTTCGAGTCAACCTTGGATAGCCCAATCGCTGGTTGGACCGGATTTCATCGGAAAGGAGTTGAGAGCTGCCAGTAGACGAAGCTCATGAACCAAGCCGATGTTGAACCAGCTATCTTTGTTTCAACCAGAATCTTTGGGTTCATGCCACCCCCACTTCTTGGCCTCGTGTTTGGCTGTTTTCAGAGGTCGCCTTGGGCCAAAAAGGCTGGGGAGACGGTCTCGACTATTTGCTGCAAGGTGCCAAGGGCATGACGGTGCTGAAGTGGCTGCAGCGGAACCCCGAGAAGGCCTCCTCCTTCTTCCGCCGGAGGTCGGCGGATTGCGGGGAGACGGCGCTGCACTATGCCCTGAAGAACAAGGACCTGGCCATGAGCCTTCCCCAGAATTAGCTCCCCTTTTCGTTGTTGTCTTTTTGCTCTTTTTTTTTTTTGGGGGGGGGGTCAGTTTTGTTTTGTCCTTTTCTTTTATATATATAGTTTTATTTGTTCCTTTTGGGTTTCCACGAACGAGGCAAACACACAGCTTTTTTTGCTGGGGTCCTCACTCCAGCCAAGGATCCAGCTGCTGCTGAAGGAAGCTGCTTTGGGGTGTTGGGAGTTGGGTGTGAATGAGGGTGTTGGGAAGTCATGTCCAACCACTTAGGCAGGGGGTCTGCTGCTGAAGGCGGGCCTGTTTTTGGGTTTTGGGTGAGGCAAACCCGAACTGGACATCAGAATTGAGAAGGGAAATCATGTGCAACCGCTTAGATAGGGGTTTCTTAAAAAGAAGACATGGATCCCTTGTTGGATGGTTTTAGAAGGAAACCACAAGGAAGTCACCTGGGGTTCACCCTCTTGAGACACGCCATGCGAAGTCAGACCTTGTTTAAAGCAACCAGCCGTAACCATACCGACAACTGTTCAAGAACCTCTGGGTATCTGACAGGAGGCACACCGGAACTCCAACCCCTCCTACATCAGTGGCACCGTGAACAACGGCATCATGACCTTCAACCTGAAGACCGGAACGGAGGTGCAATTGGACTCGGCATTTTCCAGATTTGAAACTGGTTCAATTCCAAAATGCCGGAAAGCGTCAAATGTTTTCAATGTGAAGCACCCCTTTGTCAGTTCACACTGGCACCGGGGCCCTCAAAAGGATGGGCTTGCCATTTTCAGGCGGTGCCCGTGTCATTTGCCTTCGAACCCCTGTTGACTTTTCAGTCAAAAGTAATATAAATATCAAAAAAATGTTCTGTTTTTTTGTCCCCTTTGTTGTTCTTTTTGTATAAATAGTTGCAAACCAGCAACTATTTGGTACCAACCAGGCGCCACTCGGGTACCGTCAGGTCTGGTTCTGGCCGCGGGACGGCCGCAAGATCATCCACCGGACGGGGCCCTCGGAGCAGGACAGGCCCACCAGGTCAACGCTTTGAGTCGGTACCTCCCTCGTTTTGTGTGTTTGCGGATTCCAAAAGGACGTGGATTGACATAACAAAAAATACTTTTCTACCCATGTTGGTTGCGACGTATTTGTGTGCCTTTGGTTCTTTTAAGAGTTCGAACCTCAGAGTTGGAAACACCATCCATTATCCATTGCTTGGTGGAAACATATGGATGCTTACGAAATCCATTTGCCTAAGAACCCCTGGAAATGATTCGATTCCCCAGTAAATGCCAACCATCGTAGTGGTTTCCACCATGGTATCATTTCGTGGTGCGATTTCTGGATTTCACAACTCATCCAGAGTTTTCTAACAACCCAGCTCGCTCTGAGATAGCTGTTGGACCAATGTGCTCTAGGGTTCAACCCTCCAAAGAATGGCCTTGGGACCCAATTTGGATGACGACGATTAGACAAGCCAATAAATCACCCCCTTTATTTTTCAATGGTGGCAACTAACTGAACCACCCAGGGGTTTGGCGTCGCGCACCCCCCGTGGGTTTTATGCGGTGAGGATGGCTTCGTCCACGAGGGCGGCAAGACCACGGAGCCTTTGAGCCCGGGAACTGCGGTGGTGGTCCGCGAGCTGAGGGGCCAGTGGATGCGCACGGATGCTTGGCATTGGCGACCATGACCCCCCCCCCCTCCCCATTTCCCCCATTCCCCCCCCGCCCCACAAAAACAAGAGGGCCCCCAAAAAGACCAAGCCCTCCACACCCCCCCCAAAAAAAAGAAAGAAAGACACGGAAAAACAGACGAGCCCCAAAGCCGACGCACCATACCCCGGCCGAACAAAAAAGAAGACGGCCCCTAAAAAGCAGGAACCCAGATACAACGCTTTTCTCGGAAGATCCGGCTTGATCTCTCTGGCCTGCAAAACTAAATGTGTTTTTTTGTTGTGTGGGAAACCACTACACCAATCCAAACCACCAACTAGCGGGAAGCTGAAATGACGGTTTTGTCTTGACTGGCAAACAGTGGATCACCTTTAACGCTTTCGCTTGGAATATGAACAAAACATTTGAACAAAACAGCAAGTAAATATTGTTGTACCAGTTGGTACATGTATTAAGATTGAAGCTTCTTTAAAGCAAGCTCTTGTAGCACTTTCTAAACCAACTGTAAACATGTTATGCTCTCCAAACGAGACTTCCACGAAGAGAAACAGCTGGCAAGGCAAAGACCGTTGTTTCCTTGGGAACGATTCTTACCTTTTCCCGGGAACTTATTTGGACATGTCCAATAGTGGATAAAACAAAAGTGTATTTGAATGGAGATCACGCAACATTAAGACACGTGTACCCAATAAGATGGGTAATTCTGACAAATGCATGACAGCCGTACTTGAGAAAGAGACAGGACACCATGGGATAGTCTTTAATGTATACGGCAATAGCATCTCAGATATAGATTTGTTGTCCAAAAGTGTCGAAATGTAAGACATGACGATATACCAGAGACTAAGAATCCCAATGCTATAACCAACATCCCCTCCCTTTGATTCTTCTGCCAGCTGTCTCGAAATGGTGGCCATTGTTTTCCCCCAATCAGTTTGCTTTCCACCAAACCAACAAGTGTTTCACCCCAGCAAAAAGCCACCCCACTCCACAACAACAAAAAGGGGTTCCCCCCCCCCAAAAAAAAAGAAAACAAAGAAAACATATGTCTCGGTTTTCCCACTCCAATGTTTGTCTTTCTCCCAGAAACCCAAACGGTTTGCTCCCCCCCACCCCCCAACCACCCCCCAACCACCCCCAAGCCCTCCCCTCCTCCTCTACCCTCCCCCCCTCAAACCACCCCCAACCCTTCCCCCCCTCCCTCCCTCCCCTCCGCTCCCTCCTCCTCCTCCCCTCAAACCACCCCCAAACCACCCCCAAACCACCCCCAAGAGATGCCGCCCACCCAGGACGTGGGCTGGGTGCCGCTGGTGGCCGGCAGCGTGGCGCTCTTCGTGGCGGAGGACCCAAAGCTCACCCGGCCCCGGCCCAAGACGCAGAACCCCGCGCCCCGGCGAAGCCCAGACACCGAGCCGCCGGCGTCCCGTGGGTTTCTCCGGCGCGTCTCCGACTTTCCGTGGGGTGTTTCTCCGGGTGTTCTGTTTTTGTTCTCTGATCTTACGTTTGTTTCTCCGGTTTTCTGCTTTTGGTCTGATTTGCCGTTGTTTCTTCTCCGGTTTTTTTGTGTTTGTTCTCTGTTGTGTTTTTCTTTTTCCCTGTGGTTTCGTGTTTTTGTTCTCTGATTCTACGTGTTTTTCTCCGATGTTCTGCTTTTGTTCTCTGTTCTGTTTGTTTCTCTGATTTTACGTGTTTTTCTCCGATGTTCCATCCGGTTTTCAAGGGATTCCATTTGTTTTCTTAGGGGCTGAGATAATTACGGGCTGATGGTTTTTGAGATTGTCGAAGAACCACACCCTTGTTTTAAGACACATCCAAATAGGACATGGCTCTTTTTGCGCGTGCCTTTTTGTTCGGAACCACCTCAAAAGCGGGTGGACGTAAATTTCCACCTACGTGATGTCCACCAGTTTGCCATGTGAGAAACCAGGAAACCAATCATCTTGCTGGTTCTAGGGAATGAGAAATGGAGTGACCCCTCTAAACAATCCAACTTGTGGCTTCCTTTATTCGGGAATCCCCCAAACTGTTCGGTTTCACCCGGACTCACGAATTCAGTCATTCCCTCCCAAAACCGCGATCGCGATAGTCCTGGGGCGTCGAGTCAAAATTATTTTTTGAGGGAGATTCCCATGGAAAAACGAAAAAGACATGGAAGGTAAGCAAACCTCCCAAAAAAGGGTGTCGTTTTTGGACGGCCCGCAAGATGGAACTCGGATTTCCTGATGGTCTCTCTCTAAAACTTCGACAAAGAAAGTCCAAACTCCCAAAACAAACATCCATTTAACGCTCTTGGGGGGGTTGTCACGGAGTCAAACGCCAGGTTTGCTTTTGGTTTTGTTTAAAACGCGTCGCCGCTCACTTTTTTCGGAACCGGCAACCAGAAAGTGGTGTCCTTTTGGCCAGAACTTTTCTACTCCAAAAAAAGCGCGTCAGTGTCCCTATTTATCAGAAGCGCCCAAATGATTTGGTGTTTTTTTTTGTGTTGTTTGTTTTAGGGACCCACGAAAGAGGGATTTGCCGCTTGGTGTTCCTTCAAAACCACCAACTCGTACAAATCGTTTCGTTTTTTTGCCTAAAAGGCAGCTTTAACATTTTGAGAAACTCCTACTTCTTCCATGGATCAGTGTGAAAATAGATTTGGACCCCTATGGATGGAATTCGGGTTTTCCTATGGCTTCCCTTTACACAAACCTACAAGGTGTCCTTTCTCAAAGTGGGTGTGTCGTTTGAGGGTACCACTGTTTGGGGTGCCCAAGATACCATCTCCTTTCTGTTGCTCCTTTCAAGGGTTCCCTGTAGGCGGTTCCCTCTTTTTTTTTGGGTTGTGGCTGAAAATGGGGGGCCCCTGCAGGTGCCAAAACAGGGGGCCAAACCACTCATCTTGAGTGTTCTGAATTGAAGAGTTAGAATCACAGAAGTAGTTGGTGGGCGTGAATCCCCACCTGAATAGTGCACACCAAAGGTTTACTGGGTCAATGTGTGTTGACCTTTCCATGATAACATCTTACAGCTTGGTTGACTATGAAAGAGCAGCATGCGAAGGGTTGACCTATTTTCTCTGGCTGAAGATTCACATCCTCGACCAAGGAGCTGCAGCCCGTGTCCACCGGCTTTGCCAGGGGCAGGCCGGCTTTTCTTTTGGAGGGGGGAGGGGTTCAAATGTCTGTGGCTCAGAAAAAAAAAGACTGGTACCAAAATGGCAGCTTGGTAAATAGAGCCAAAGACCAAAACCTGGGCAACTGTAGTCTCTTAATTTGAGCCACACGAAACAACTGTTGGAACGGCCGGCAAAAAAAACAACAAACAAGAACAAAAAGTGCCCCCGCCAGCGGCCAGCGCTGTTTCCAGTCCAGTTTCCCTTTTCTCTGTCACCAGCCAGCGCTGTTTCCAGTCAAAATTTCCCTTTTTCTCGGTCACCACTCGACCCCTACCAATTTTCGGCCTGGGAGCGTTCCGGTGGGCCTCGGCCCCCGAAAAAAAAATTCGGAGCTCGCGGAGTTGGGATCTCCACAGCCGCGGGGAGATCTCCGGCGGAAATTTCCCCGGGGCCCCGGTGGGACCGTCACTTCTCAGAAGGTCGGCTCCCGCGGATTTTTTCTTTTTTTTTGTTTGAAACATTTGTGGTTCTCCCCCTTCGGTTTGTTTTTGATTGAAAAAAAATGTGTTTCTCCCAACCTTCAAAGGTTGGCTCCAAGAGCAAAGATCCAGCTCGTGGAGCAAGATGGAGCAGCCTCAAGCATGTTGGGTGGGCATAAAACTAAAGCAGGTGGCATACCCAGCTCATCGGTGAATGGCACGCGTGTTTTTCGAGAGTACCCTTGTTGGAATCGATTTACAGGGAAACAAAAAGAACAACCACCATTTGTAGGATGCACCGAACGACGCTTGTGAAGATCCCATTTGGAGATGTCCCCAGGGCCTACAGAGCGAAGAAGCTGCGCAAAGTGAAGCTGAGCCGCGGTGGGGCAGAGGGAAACCAGGCCTTCGTGAAAGATATGGAAAGCGGCGACTACTGCCAGCCCACATGTGACCAGAGGACAGCATTGGCCTGGGCAGTGAAGGACATGGATTTCAAGACCCTAGCTGCAGCTTGACTGGAACAGCTTTTCGGTTGAACATGTGTGTGAACAAAACGTTGTTTTCTAGAGGTTGATTCCCCATTCTTTTCAACAATCGTTCTTTCCAAAAACCAGTCGTTTTCCCTCTGTTTCCGGAGGTTTTCCAGAAAGAAGAATCCCTGGAAAGAATGGGGAAGGAACGCCTATATAGATGTTTGCTTTCTGCACAGGGGTAATATTGTGCGTGTCAATTTTGAGGACATCCTTGTTTGGTCGGTTTCAGAGGAACAAAAAGGACATCTGCCATTGTGGAGGTTTACCTACTTTGGGAGATACCCTATATGGGTATGTGTCAAGATACGGGAACCCCGCAAATTGTAGTTCTCCTTTTGGTTTCCCAAACCGTACCATAAGCCGCAAACGAATATAATATGTGCCATGGTCAAAAGTCAAAAGACCCACTCCTACCCAAAGTAGAGAATTCCAAAGGGAATGACCAAGCTTTGACCACATATGGTTGTGTCTCTTTGTTTGAGTTGTTACCCTCGTTTGGTGGTTTTGTAGCAGGAAACCATTCGAAAGCTCCACCACGCATGCGGGGTCATCAACCTCTTTTCCCTCGACAACAACATGAGGAGCCGCCCATGTAGATCAGAGTCTACCTTGCGAGAAAGGGACGAGCCAGTCATATCAGGGTGGCTGCACATCTGGCACGATCAATGGCCAGGAATCATAGGTGTCCTTTTTGGTTGATTTGGTTGAAAAATAGATGGCGATTCCTGGTTTACCTGGTGGTTGATATCAACTACCAGGGAAACCCATCTATTTTCAACCAAAAAGGCCACCAATGCCAAGCCAGTCATATCAGGGTGGCTGCAAATTTGTTTTTGCCCGTTCCTTTTGGGACGGTCTGGGTCGATCAATGGCCAGGCATGCTGCGAGATCTTCGGGCAGAATCAGCCCAGCGACTTCTTGGGTGAGGCGGTGCGTTTGGGCTTGTGGCAGCTGGCGGGCGAGCTGGTGACCCATATGGGCGTGGGGGACTTGTACGGCTTGAACCAGCAGCACCGAACCCTGGCGCTTGAAAAACTTGGCCAAGGCAAATGTCCAAAAGGTGAGATGCTGTTATTACGTTGAAGAAATGAGTTCGTCAGTCTACTTGGAACCTGAATGGGCGGAGAGAACTTCGGAGGACGTTGAGTTAGAAACCGGACCCTCATGGTTGCCCTTTGGTTTCCTCAGCGAAAAAGGGGGGAGCCTCAAAAGGAGAAACATTGCGAACTGGCTCTACTAAACCTGGGGTCATTATTTTGACGGTTTCTGGGGGTTATCAAAGTCAGAAAGTGGGGTTGGTTCCCTTTAACCCACTTTGGTCATGGTAAAATAATGAGGCCACCAAACCTACACAGGGCGATCCACCTCTCGCCTCTCAGGAGTGGCCTTGCTCCCAATGCCCAGCGAACAAGAACTCGCGGAGGTGGGAAAGCGGAAGGCATCCATCACCAAGAAGCCCAGCTGCAAGTGGACGCGGCCCCACTTTTCTTGAAGGGGGCGGGGTTTCGTGTGCCCCTTGAAAATCCACTAGCTATAGTTGCCGCCAGTGGATTTTGCTGTTGCCTAGCTGTTGTTTTTTGAAGTTTGTTCTTCTTTTTTGTATTTTTTTTTGGGCGGGGGGGAAGGCGTTCGTTGAGATTTTGAAGTGGAAAGGGCGCGCCCATACGTTGTTCCTTCCCAATGCGACAGGAAGTCCGTGGAGAACTTCGAGATCATGCCGATTCACTGTGCTTGCATCAACCCGCAGTCGGGCAAGGCGATGCTCGAGATCATGCTGGCGCAGCTGGGGCCTGTCGCCGAAGACTTGTGCCGAGACGCCTCCTTCCGAACCCTGGTGCATTACGCGGCAGTGTGCGAGTCAGAGGAGGGGATCGTGTTTGGCGGGTTTTTTGGGAGGGTAGCAGTTTGGAGATTGGAGACACCCAAGGAACCGGGCCCCGTAAATGAGGGATTCCTGCCCCCAAATCCCGGTCGCCGGGTTTCTCTAAGCACATCGGTCTTTTTTTGGGCTGCATTGCTTTTGAAAACCCCGTTTCACGGGCCAATTCAGGCTTGATACCTGGGCTCGTTGCTTTTCTCTGTCAAAGCCTTTGGATTGGCCAAGTGCAGGCTTACAGGTGACCCCAGACCCCAAACCCTCGGCCGGGTTTCTCTCAAATCGGTCGTTGTTGCTTTTTTTCTTCGAGAGGAGGCGCTGGATGTTCTCTTGACGGCCGGATTCTCGCCCCACCGTGCGGACAAGGACGGCTACACGGCCCTGATGTGCGCGTGCATGGCGAACCGCCCGAAGAACGTGGCCCGACTCCTCGCTGCCAAGGCTGTGGTTCATGGATCCTAGCTTTTCCAGTGCCCGTCCTAAAACCGCTTCTTTCTTGGGCATGGGATTTTTTTCCTAAAATGAACTAGACCACAGAGAAAAAAAAAAAACGCCTCGGGTAGCGAGTCACTGGAGGACATCGATTCGAGCCGAATTCCAAATTTTGGAAGGGGAATCATTTCCAAAGGAAGGCACCGACCAAAAGGAAGGAACCGAAAGGAACCGAAAGGAACCGAAAGGAATCCCTTGTAGGAAGGAAGGTGTTTGAATGGGAAAGCCAAAGGTGAACCAAAGGAAACCGAGTCCCCCAAGCTTCCAGTCTAATTGAATCATTGAAGCGTCGCTGTTCTGTTTTTTTTTGGTGGGTTTGCTGTTTATGTTTAGTAGGGTTGTGAAGTAAAGAGGGGAGTTTTCCTATTTTGAGAACCCCACATGTCGCCAAGTCCCTTGTTCAACAGGGCAACTATCTGCAATTTCAAAGGGACACCACGGGGGGGGTTGTTTGGATAAGGGGTGTTTAAATGGGTGTGTTTCTTCTTGGGGGCCCCTCGACAATGCTGGGTTTTCCTTTTGTTTCCGTCAATCCCCCCCCAACTCAAACGGTGAACCGCTCAGGTTGGTGTGTTTTCGCTGAAAGCTATAGGGTGGATAGGCCCAGCAATCGGAGATAAGGGGTGGTGTGGAGGAAAAGCAGGGGCTCCCAGCCGGCTGCTCAAAGGTAATCCCTAATCCTTGCCTCGGGCTACGCAAGGATTCGGTCCTCTTTGTAGTGGCTTTCCCATCGGGATTATGGAAAATCGGGCTGGCCAAGCCTCCGTTTTCTTGCCTGTGCTCAGTAGGAAATGACCGAATCCGGGTGTTGGGAATGAACCGGTTTTGGGGATTTCCTCGAAGGAACCCACAAATTGGATTGTTCAGTTCGGGGTTCCGATTCTCCTTCCCTGTGCCTATCGAACCAGCAAGATGATAGGTGTTTTCTCGAATGGGTGTGAATTTCAATGGGGAACCCGAACTGGACATCAGAATTCGGTAGGGATGTATGTCCAACCACGTTTAAGCAGAGGTGCATTCTGCTTGGATGTTAGGACTTCAACTTTTTGCCAATGGGTTTTCCATTAAACTATAAGTTAAACCTTAGGGGAGCAGAAAGCAACCGAGCAACGTTTCAGGTGGTTGCAACAAAAGGGAGAAAAACACACACACGCACACACACACACACACACACCCACCCACCCACCCACCCACCCACCCACCCACCCACCCACCCACCCACCCACCCACCCACCCACCCACCCACGCCCCACGCACCCACGCACCCACGCACCCACGCACCCACGCACCCACGCACCCACGCACCCACGCACCCACGCACCCACGCACCCACGCACCCACGCACCCACGCACCCACGCACCCACGCACCCACGCACCCACGCACCCACGCACCCACGCACCCACGCACCCACGCACCCACGCACCCACGCACGCACGCACGCACGCACGCATCCATACCATTACCCATTAATTCACACGCGCACATCGCTGGTGATTGCGACGCTGGTGACGCAAGATTTGGCTTATCGCCAAGACGCTGCACTTGACGCCAAGACGCCAAGACGCCAAGACGCCAAGACGCTAAGACGTCAAGACGCTGAAGACGCTGGGCCACGCGCTCAAGGCTTCGTACTCCGCACCCGCACCCGCCCGCGACACACCGCACACGCACAAGCACACGCGGCACGCGCACGCGCACGCGCACGCACACGCACCCACGCACCCAGGCACACTCGCACACGCGCACACGCGCACACGCACGGACGCACACGCACGCGCACGCGCACGCCCACACACACACACACACCCACCCACCCACCCACCCACCCACCCACGCACGCACGCACGCACGCACGCACGCACGCACGCACGCACGCACGCACGCACCAACACCAAACACACACACGCACGCACGCACGCACGCACCAACACCAAACACACACACACACAGACACACAGACACACAGACACACAGACACACACACACACACACACACACAGACACACACACACACACACACACACACACACACACACACACACACAGACACACACACACACACACACACACACACACACACACACACACACACACACACACACACACACACACACACAACACACACACCACACACACACACACACACACACACACACACACACACACACACACACACACACACACACACACACACACACACACACACACACACACACACACACACACACACACACACACACACCCACACACACACACACACACACACACACACACACACACACACACACACACACACACACACACACACACACACACACACACACACACACACACACACACACACACACACACACACACACACACACACACACACACACACACACACACACACACACACACACACACACACACACACACACACACACACACACACACACACACACACACACACACACACATCCATGGCCCACGTCCCCAAAACTTGCGGGCGTCTCGTTGTCCGTCGTAGGCGGACCCCATGGCCCGCGCCAACGAGCGCACCAGCTTCCACCTGGCGGTGCGCGCTGGGGCCATGGAGGCCCTGCAGGCCTTGGTGGCCCACATGGTCGCCCTGGCCGCGGAGGCGGACAGCTCGGCCGTCGCCTTTGGGGGTAAAGAAATCTGCAGGGTTCCCGAGCCGTTTTCCTGAATGGGAATGGGGTTTGGGTGCCATTTTCCGGAGGGCCCGTCTTTGGGGGGAGAAAATGAGGGCGAGTGGCGGTCCTTTTGAGGTGAGGTTGGTTGGAGATGGATGGGTTCCAGTGGTTTAGATGGGGTGTAGGTCAGAACGGGGGGACTGGTTGGGGAGGACGGTTCGTTTTGGGGGGAATTTGGAGAAGAAATCTGCAGGGATTTGGAGCCGTTTCCTTGGGGAATGGGGTTTGGGTGCCGTTCGTCGTTTTAGGGGGGAAAAATGGGGGCGAGTGGTGGTCCTTCTCCTACATGAGGTTGGTTGGAGATGGATGGGTTGCACTGGTTTACATCGGGTGTACTACCTATTTACCAGGGAAAAGTTGAGTGGGTTGTGGTCCTTTTATGGGCCAGAAGGCGGTGGTTCCGAACAGCATACTGGGCTGAGTCCGGATCCTTTTCAGTGCGGGTTCTCAGACACCACTCATTCGTCTAGGGTTTTAGGTAAGGTTGGTTGGAGATGGATGGGTTCCACTTGGGTTTAGATGGGGTGTACCACCCATTTGCCAGGGAAAAGTTGAACTCTACAGCGTTTCCGAGCCGTTTCCTGAATGGGAATGGGTTTGGGTGCCATGTTCATCCATTGTCCTTTAATGGGAATGGGTTTCACGGAGGGCGTCACCTTTCAGGGGGACTTTTCAGGTTACGTTGGAAAGATATAGATGGGTTCCACTGCTGATTGGTTTATCAATCACTTGCAGAGAAACACATGGCTGTTGGTCAAAACCAATGGGATCCCATTTTGGGGTTTTCGGTGCACCACTCATTTTAGAACCTGTTTTAGTGGAGATTGAATCGGATGTTCACTGGGGATACGACTTGGATTTTGACCCATGGCCACATCTATTTGAGAAACTCTACAGGTCCAAAGTGGGGGGGGGGGTCCCATGGCCCTAAGGAATTTTAGGGAGCCGTAGGGCTCTCGACTACCCCCGCTGTACCTATCCCCTTAGTTTTTGTTTTCAGGCTTTCCCTTTTTCCAAAAGGAGCAGTTTTAGTGGACACCACCAGTAAAATGCAATTTATGAGGGGGAAATCCAGCGACCCCTACACGGCGATTTGGCGTCCTGGCCTCTTTTTGGACGATTTGGTACCCTGTGTGGGCTTCGTTCGGGAAGCCAAGAGGAAAGCCGAAACCATCCTAGTGGACCAATTTGTTAAACCTCCATACATATGTATATATGCTGTATATATGTATATATAGAGAAATCATGTCATATGTATCATGTGTTATTTATGTGTATTCATTTTGCGAACCCTTTTACAGGGCTCCTTAAAAGATCTCCATTTCGCCAACTTGAAACATGTCGCTTTTTCAAGACCAAAATAAAGTTGGACACCATTTAGCAAGTTGCCATTTCACGCATCCGGATCCCCACGGGTTTTGCCCCACGTCTCGCCCCAGCGGCCGGTGTTCGGCGCGCCTTGGGCGCCAGGTGCCCGCGGCGAAGCCGAAGAAGGGCGCCAAGAAGCCGAAGCCCAGCTGGCAGCTCGCCACGTCCTCGGCGCAGCGCAACGCGCTCCACGACGCCCGGCGGCGGGCCTGGCTCATGGTTTTGTGGTCTTCTTTGTTTTTTTTTGGAGGTGGGGGGGGGGGGGAAAAGGGGGAGGGGGGGCATTGTTTTTGGGTGTTTTTTTTGGCGCGGGGGAGGGGGGGGGTGATTCATTGTGTTTCTTCATTTTTGGGAGGGGGGGGACTTGACTCTTTTTTCTTTTGTTTTTTTCTGTTTTTGGGAGGGAGGGGGGAACTGACTCTTTTTTTCTTCTTTCATTCTTTGGGAGGGGGGGGGACTTGACTCTTTTTTCTTTTCTTTCGTTTTTTGGGAGGGGGGGCGGGCGTTGCAGAGGGGGGTTGGGGTTTTTGAAGACTCATCTTGTTTCATTCTTTTGGGGCCTGGGGAAGGGAGGGAGGGAGGAGGCTGCAGGGAGCCCAATTATCCCAAGTATGTGTTTAAAGGGAGGCCTTGGGGAAAGGAGGTGGGGTTCATTCATAGAGGTGTTTCTTTCTGTCTTTCTTTTTTTCGTGTTTTTTTTTTTGGGGGGGGGACAGGGGGTGGGGGGTTGAGGGAACACCAGGGATTGAGGATTGCCTTTGAACAGCGGGTTTCCAGACCTAATGGGGCTTCACAAACTTGGATTGCGTATGGTACATTCTTTTTTTGCTGGGGGGGGTTGAGGGAAACACACCAATCCTAGGTGTTTCACTTTGTGAGTTGGTACCCTTTGATACATCGTTGGGCGTGGCTCAAAAACGTAGGAAGGGCAAGCCGCAGGTTTTCGTTTTTGTTGCCTTAAGGGCTTCGTTGCCCCCGGTCCCTTCCCCCCCAGCCCTGTGAATCATTGTAAATACTGGGAGAAAGAAACCCACCTACCAGAACCACCACGTACTCTAAATATCCACTTTTGTTACTTTATTTTGGGAAAACTGGTTTTCCATGGCAGATACCTCCTTGTCTCCATTTTCTGTTTTATACCTCCATGTCAAAATAGGAATTGGTCCCCTATGGTGGGTTTCATGGTTTCTTATGCGGGTATTAATTTTGTTTGATACCCAAGCTGGTGGAGATCATTTACATGCTTTGATGTATCTTCACCAACTCCTGAGCAAGGCGGGGTCCCTCTTTAAACTTCGCACCCAACTCCACTTCTTTGTGGTTGTCCATCATTTTCCCTTCATACCGGCAAGTCAACTGCTTGCAGACAAAAACTTATCCCCAGGAAGCTTGTGCGGTGGGGCGACTGGACATGGTGTCGCTCTTGCTGGACAATACGCCGGCGGCGCTGCACAAGACTGACAAGCAAGGGCGTTCACCATTGACTCTGGCGGTCATGAATGGTCACACGCTGCTAGCCTCACATTTGATCCACCGGCGAGCGTTGCTGGAGCAGAACGACACCTCTGGCAACAGCCCGCTGCACTACGCCTTGGCCTACGGCTGGCAAGAGCTCGCCAAGCTGCTGGTGGACTGCGGCCACGATCCGGACGTGCAGAACAAGTGGCGCAACGCCCCGGTGGATGTGGCGCTCTTGAAGGGCCACGCAGGCCTGGCGGCTTGGTATGTGGCGGAGTGCCCCATCCAGCCAGACAGCCTGGACGAGTCGGGGCGTACCCTGCTGTCCCGCGCCTGCGCCTCCTTGGTGGGCAACATGACCGCGGTCTGGCAGAAGCTGCTGAAGGCTTTGGTGCAGAAGCGGGGGGCCGATGTGAACCTCGCGGACGGCCAGGGGGATCTGCCCATCTGCCTCGCGGCCTCGGCCTGCGCCAGGGCCAGCAACCCGGAGCTCACCGCGTGCCTGAAGATCCTATGCGCGGCCAAGGCGGATGTGGGCAGACGGGCGCAGAAGGGCCAGTTCCAGGGACAGTCGGCCATCTCCATCGCCCTCAGGCTGGATACGGGTCAGTGGACTCTTGCCCCAAGGGAATCTCCCCCTTGAAAAAAAGGACGCCTACCAAGGGGATGTTTCTCCCATGTGTTTTTGTTGATTTTTGTTTTGGGGGGAGGGGCCGTCTTTGGACTTGACGCCTTTGTTTGTTGTGCAGAAGTTGTCTTCCCTTTTTCTCTGCCCTGCCAGGGGCAGCAACAGCGACTTGTTGCGGCTGATGCTGGAGAGCGGCGCCGGGCTGGCGTCGCAGGGCCGGGGGGAGACGCTGCTGCACGCCCTGCCGGAGCGGCTGATCAGGACTGGGTTCTGGAACCCCCAGCAGGAGGCTACGGCGGAGAGCATGTTCCAAACCATCCGCAGCTGCGTGTCCAAGGAGCGGCGAGGCAAAATATGGTTTAAACACCACCTTTAAAACTGGCCAGTAAAAGGAAATAATCTCCTAACCAGTGGTTTAAACAAGTTTAAACCAATGGGTGGCCCCACCCTACCAAGGAGGCCTTGTGCGCCATGGCCCAGACCATGGAGACCCACGGCTTGCTGCCGCTGCACTCCGCCATTTTGCAGTTCAACCAGGCCATCGCTACTTTGCGCGCTGCGCGGGCGCAGAAGGAGTTGGAGGTGAAGGGCCTGGAGCAGCAGCAGCAGGCAGCCGCCAGCAGGCCGCGGGGGGCGGGGTGAAGGCTTCCCCAACCCGCGGCGCCCCGTTTCGCCCCCGCAAAATGACCATCCCGCATGCCATGAAACTCCAAAAGCAGCTGGACCCCCCAACATGCTTCGTCTTGGTTTCCCTCGAAAAACCAGCCAGACACCCAACGAAATGGTGATCAATCAAACCGCCAGGACTCATAGACCGATGTTTGAGTTTGTTTACATTGACCAGGGTAACCCATGTTGGATACCTATTTTGGACCCACGGAGCAGTTCCTGGACCTTTTGCCTCAAAAAACATCCGCCAGGCAGCAGACGACGCAGGTCTCACAGCTTCGGCACACCATCGAATCCAAGATGCCCGAGTTGCAGCAGGCGCGCCAGACAGAAGACGTCGCTTGGCACTGCGAGAGCTGCTCTGCGTGTCTATTCAAGCCTAATGGGATCCCATTTTGGGGTAGGTGCACCACCCATGCTAGAACCTATTTTAGTGGGGATTGGGATGTTCATACGACTTGGATTTTGACCCATGGCCACTTGACCCACAGCCAAGTGGCGCTTTTTGGGGGGCTCCCTTCCCTTGAAACGCAAATTTACACTCCAGGTTCAAAGCGAAAGCTATTGTGGAGGTCACTTCAATGGACCGAGTGCCAGTGCAGCTTTGTGTAGGAATCAGTCTAAAGATCAGGGACATTGAGAGGAACTCTGAAGCAGTAGCTCAGAAGAATGCACATGGGGGTTGATCAAAAGGTCCGGTAAACAAGGGATGAGCATTGGGGGAACCACAAAAAAGATGCTATTTCCCACTGAATCGGAAGAGTTACCCTTGATCATTTGAAGGGCCAGGAATATTGATCAATCCCCACATGCTGAGGCTGCCCGGAACGACTTCCAGAAGTGCCTGCTATGGCTCTTCGACGAAGCTTCTGCAGACTTGCTCGCCCCAGTTGGCCCCTTGGAGAAGCCCTGGTATGACCCGACCAAGCCAAATCAGCCCAAGACGCCACCGGCGCTTTCTGACCCCAAGCTGATCGCCGTGGCACCGCCACCTGCCATTGAGGCGGTGGTGGAGCCAAGTGTACCCGCGTTCGAGCAAGCGACTTACTACAAGTACCACCCATCCCTGGGCATGACGACGCCTCTGATGTTCCTGGTGAAGTGCAAGGACTCTCAGTTCTTCATTGGCCCCAGATCTCTTTCTCCAACCACTTTCTCGGTTTCCTCTTTTTTCGGTGGCCCCACTAAAATATGGCCCAAGCCCCCAAGAAAGGGGTTCGAGCCCGCGTTTTTTTCTTCTCCAGGGTCACTCTGAGGACTCCCCCGCGGTGTCCTGGTACTTGGATCAGCTGGCCAAGCGCAAGCTGCAGGACCAGGCTGAACTGCTTCGGGAAGCAACCCGGAACCGCCGGGCGAGAGGGAAGCAGCCCGGAACTGGGTCAACCTTTCGGGCACAAAGCCCCCCCCCCCAAAGAAAAATACATGAATAAACAAACATATATATATATATAAAGAAAAAGAACAAAGAAACACGCCAACCATGTTTCTCCCTTCCCCCCCAGGGAAAAAAAAGAAGGATTCATACCCAAGCAGCCGAGCCAGCTTTCGTGTTTGTTTTGCTGGTTTTCTCCACGAGAGCCACAATCAAAACCCGGGTAGATGAAGCTTAAGGGACACTCCCCTTGCCATAAATAGCTGCGGATATCCGCCTTCATTCCTGAAGCATGGCTCTGGGTCAAAACCGGTTTGGGATCCCATTGTAGGTGCACCACCCATTGCAGAAGCTATTTTACAGTGGTTGGATTGGTTGATGTTCACTGGGGGTACGATTAGGAGTTTGAAAAGCGCCAATGGCCACACTGACTCTGGGGATTACGACTCATGTCGTACCGGCGTTTTGAGTTATGACTCATTTGGCTGTGGCGAATTCAAAAAATCGGAATTCCAAAATCGGTTGCCCTGGTAAGTGGAAACATGGGTACCAAAACCTGCGGTTTGCCCCTCCTATTTAATTTTGAGCCACGCCCATTTGACCTTTACCCGTCCGGGGGGCACCGATTTCTTCCCTTGGATCCTAGTTCCCGCATGGGCGCCAAACATGCCATGGGCGCCAAAGCAGCGGTTTGACGTGTCACGAGGCCCTGCAGAGCTCCAACGTCTTCGGCCTCACTCCGCTGGCCATCGCCATTCAGAACCAACCCCTGGCCGAAGACTTGCTGCGGCGCCTGGCCTCTCCAGGCGCGAGAAAAGGAGACACGAGGTGACTCCACCCCCTGGATTTTACGGGGGCCCGACAATCCGAAGGTCGAGTGAGTCCTTGTTTTCTTTGGTTTTAAAGGGGGAACCGAAAAGAAAGCGTTGCTTTGGTTTGTTGTTTGGCCAATTTTGCTGCCATGTGATTTGTCCCTTGGCTCTGCCAAAAGTGCGAAGTACTCAGGGCCAAACTTGCAAACTCAGGAGCGGAAACCTAGAAACCCTCGGCCCAAACCCTTAGAAGCCCAACACCAACCTAGAGCCTGCAAACACTCAACCTAGATCCTAAAACCCACAAACCTAAACCCAACAAAAAGCAACACCCAAGCCACATTAGCAGCCCTAAACAGCCTTCTTGCCCTGTGCGGCTGAAAGTATGGAGTGGGGGTAATGTCAAGACACGCTCTGGCCCCCCAAAAAGCGGACATTGTTCGTGCCAAGAAATCGAAGAACGGTTATTTGGTGCTTCTTCTTTAACAGACTTTGTCCCCTTGGCAAAATGAAGCTGTGGGTGTCCGCTTTGAATGCCCAACATCACCAATAATATAGTTAACTCCCGGAAAAGGTCGGAATGGTTTCCTTTTGGCACGCCACATGTCGACGCCAAAAGACTGGGTGGTAACGCAAAAGGCAGATGAGAGAAGCAAGAAAATAATGATAAAGAAAGCCGAAAGCAATATAGAAAGAAATAATGGAAGGAAGGAAGGAAGGAAGGAAGGAAGGAAGGAAGGAAGGAAAGAAGGAAAGAAGGAAAGCAGGAAAGAAGGAAATAAGGAAAGAAGGAAAGAAGGAAAGAAGGAAAGAAGCAAGAAGGAAAGAAGCAAGAAGGAATAGGAATGAAGGAAGAATAAAGAATAACGAAGACATAAATAAGAAGCAAGGAACACATGATAAATGATAAGGAAGAAGAAAGACGGAAGAAGACAAACAAGAAACGGCAAAATAATACATCGCAAAGAAGAAGTAGCAAATAATATAAGAACAAAACACAACGAACAAAAATAACAACCGTCAATACTGAATTAGAAGCAACAGCGAATAGACAAGAAATAAGATCGAATAATGACTGATCAATAATGACGCATGGCGACGATACAAGACATACTACACAATAAACAACAACTAAGACACACATGAGAATGCATAGACGAAGAATAAGAAAGAAGAATGCCAGCACAACAAAGAAAACTAAACAAATAAATAAATAAAATATAGGAAAACATGGACATACAGAAATATTGGAATAAATCAATAAATAAAGACACGGTGAAATCATCACAGGCATCAATAAGGAAATGAGAACATAAGGAAATAAGTACATAATGATATAAATAAATGAATACCAAAGAACAACATAACGATGGAATCACAATGAAGAAGGAACAAATAAGACCGATCAAATAATGAGGAAAAAAGAAGAACGACGAACCACAAGGAAGAAATATCACAAGAAAGAAGAAATAAACCAGAAGAAATAAGAAGACACACAAATAGTAAGACACATACTAATAGGAATAATATTAAGAAGAAGGACAGCAGAAGAAATCTCATATTGACAATATATCACAATACTTATAAGAAGAGCCCGAGGAAGCAGACAACCGCCGACTCGTCCTTTCGCCAGGTGCTGCCAAGGTGACCCAGTTGCCGAGTGGTGTCTTTTATTTCCTTTTTTGGGGGGAAGGCTTCCCTTTAAACTCAAGCAGAAAAGAATGGATGCCTTTTTTTTGCCCCCTGGAAATCCACGCATCTGAGGTGAAGCTGCACGACGGGCAGACGGCGTTGCATTTGGCCGTGGGCGGCGGGGGCAGCTGGCGGGACGAGGTGAAGGCCCGGGCCGTGGCCTTCGAGGCCACGCTGAAGGCGGCGGAGAAGGCGAACGCCGTGGACGCGGAGGAGTGGGGGTGGGGAGGGGAGCCGATTTTTCATGGGGGTTCGCCGGGGGGGGGGGGGTTGGGGCGGGAGGGGAGGGAGGGAGGGGAGGGGAGGGAGCCCAAATACGATATTATTTCAAATAATATGAGGGGAGGGCTTCCTTTTTGTGGCTTTGCCCGTGGTTTTGCTTGGGAAAGGCAACCACTAAAACAAAATACATACACAATATACAAACCTTACTTGCTGGTGCGAGAAGTAGAGAATGCCCGAGACCGGGTGTTAGGAATGAACCTAGGCTTTGGCCCCCTTAAAGGAAACCACAAGGGATGGTTTATAAGGGTCATTTTGAGGGGTGGGGTTCCTTTTCGGGCCGTTGGCGTTTGTGATTTTACCCTTTGGGAAAGGCAAAGACAAGACATGAAAGCACCAAACCAAAGATATACAAGCCTTACTTGCTGCAATAAGTAGGGAAGGAGTTGGAACAAACCCGGGAAATTCCCTGAAAGAAAAACAAATCGGGGTTTGTTTTTCTCGGGGTCATTCCATTTCTCATTCCCTGAGCACCAGCAGGTTGAGGGGTGGAGGCATTCTTTTTTGTGCCCCTTTAGAGGGGCCTCCCTTTTGCGCCTTTGCCCGTTTTTTTTCCTTTTTTTTTCTCTGCTTGGTGTGTTTCCGAGTTTTCAGTGACCCCCCCCCAATTTTGAGCCGCAGCCATTTACCAAGTCAAAGAACGCATCCAGAAGATAGGCCTGCCCAGAGAAGCACAAAGGACAACGATCATGTGGGTGTGGCTCAAAATTAAACAGCTGGGATTGCGCAGATGTTAGCCTGCTTTGCCATTTACCAGAATTCCATTTTGGACCCCAATTTTGAGCCACACCCATAAAGGACGCAGATCGTTACGGACCAAGCAATTCACACACATCCATATGTTGCACGACCTCAACAAATACAAGCATCGGGTTCATCCAGAACCTCCGGGTTTTGGGAATGAACCTGAGGATTCCCTTAAAGGCAACCAGGTTGGGGATTGTTTTTTCGAGGGGTGGTTCCATTTTTCCTTCCCCGCTGAGCAGCAAGGGTGCTTGTTGTTTCCTTTTCAGGGGACCTGTGGGTTCATTCCAACTCATTCCCTACTCAGCAGCGGCAAGTAATGTTTGTATACATGTTTGTTAGGTTGATATTTGATGTGTTGTTTTTGCTGCCTTTCCCAGGGGGGCAGCTTTTGCTCGGGGTCATTTCAAGTCTCAAACAAATTGGTTACAGGAGAATCTACAGGAACTGGCCCCAAAACACCGTAAACCTGTTTCCCTGTAGAATGTCCTGCAACCCAAGCCTTTGAAAATCATCCGAGCAAGACAGCCTATTCGGGAATGGACCTCTGGGTTCATTCCGATTCCCCTGAGTCGCCGCTCGCTCGAGAAATCCATTTCAGGACGCCTTGGGCTGGAGCGCCCTGTGTCGGGCCTTGAGCAGTGCAGGGCCTTCGGTACCGAAGCGGCTCGAAAAAGCGAGGGGGGACGTGGAAAGCGTGGCTTTTGGGTCAAAGCCAATGGGATCCCATTTTGGTTGGTAGGTGAATTCACCACCCATGTTAGAGCCTATTTTAGTGGTTGGATTGAATCGGATGTTCACTGGGGGTACGATTTGGAATTTTACCCATGGCCACGTGGTTTTTGGCGCAACGACTCAAAGTTTTGTGCGTGCCGCAGGGCAAGGCCGTCCAAATGTGGGACATGGTCAAAATGGGGGGGGGGACTTTCAAACAACCCGTTGTTTTTGTTGTTGTTTTTTTTGTTTTTTGTTTGGGTGGGGGGAGCCTCATTTATTTTTGTGTTTTTTGTGTGTGTTTTTTTTGGGGGGGGAGGAGCCTCATGTTTTTTGTTTTGTTTTTTTTTTTTTTTTTGGGGGGGGAGCCTCAGAATGGGTGGATTTGCGTTCAACTTCCCTTTGAAAGCACAAAAGCAGGATTTGATGTCCGCCAACCACTTTTGAGGTGGTTCCCTGTCAAAATGTTTGACCACGTATGATGTAAGAAGCCACAAGGGATCAAATCCGGTCTAGAGCAAAACACACACACACACACATCCCATTCAAGCGTGCACGGAAGAGAGGGGCCCTCTAAAACGAGAGTCACATTTTAAGACATGGGAATGGCTCAAAATTAAAGAGCTACGGTTACGCAGGCTTTAGTCGTTGGTTCCACTTACTCGGGTGCCATTTTGGTGCCACTTTTTTGAGCCACAGCCACATGGATATATGAAATGGGAGTGTCTCAAGGCTGGGCTCTTGAGAGGCACGTAGCTACCTTTTTGCGTCAGATTGGAACCAAGGGAAGCCATACCCGAAGTCCATGGGTCCAAATCCCGGGGTAACACAAGTGATGAATGGGAATTGGTGGAAACCGCTCCCAGGTAGCTGGGCATCTGGCTCCTTCATTAAATTTGATAAAAACCCATTTGAGAAACCACATAGCGGACCGATTCATGTTGACCCATTGAGGGATTTACCATGGACAGGGAGGTATTTGCCATGGACGACTCGTTTCCCCAAAACAAACTGAAAAACAGAGGATACTTGGAGTACGCTTCCACCAATTTGCATGGAACCTGACAGGGGGTCCTTTGAACCCCCTTGTCAGGTTCCATGTGAAATAATTGGTGGGAGGGCATGTGGTGGTTTTCTCCCGGTATTTCAATCCATCCCAAGCGCTGCGCAAGGCTTCTGACACCTTTGGTGACATCTGCGTCTTCCTTTGCCCAGGAGGAGGCAACGATGCACCAGGCAGAGCTGGACATGTTCCAGGCTGGGGGTGGAGGCGAACGGGAGGTCAAGCATGAAGAAAGTCGCATGGGGTTTTCCTTGTGGCGTTCCTATGAACCAAAGGGTGGACGCCAGCGTTTTGAAAGGGGTAACCCACAAAGCGTTTTTCTCTTTGCCTTCCTTTTGAATCGGCCCTCTCAAAGACAGCGTTTGGCGTCCAAAAAGAGTTGCTTCAGGCCTTCCGGGAAATGGAGGAGAATCTGAAGAACAAGGGTGCACTTAGCACCGCACAGGTGGGAGCACCCAACAGAGTGACGGTCACGGGCATGGGCGCTCACATCAAGTGGAGGTTCGATGATCGAGGTGCGATTGTGAATGGCTTGAAGCACCCCGACGCGGAAGCCGCTGGCATCCGGGTAGGAATGCGCCTGACATCCATTGGAGATCAATCCATGGCGGGCATGGAGCGACAACAGATCCAGTCCTTGTGGCACTCCCTCCAGGGTGCTCGCGCAACACTGACCCTGGAAGCTGAGGGATCCAACGACGTGCCGGCACCAGCACCAACTCCAGCGGCGGCGCCGGGCTTTGGTTTTGGCGGGGGGGGCTTTGGCGGGAATCCTCTCCCGCGCCGAATGGCACGGCCGGCCCCCGCCCAAGGCCTTGGCGTCGCTCCCGGCTTTGGTGCCGCTCCCGCCTTTGTTGCCGCTCCCGCATTTGGCGCTCCCGGCTTTGGTGCATTTGGCGCTCCCGGCCTTGCGGTTGCGGGTGCGGGCGGTGGCTTCGGCTTTGGGCAGGCTCAGACCACAAATGCTCAGCCGCCACCAAATCCGAAAGTCGCAGATGAGGCCCCGGCTTTGGTGAAATCAGCTGAGCTTTGCTACCACAATCCAGATGGGAAGGGTGTCTATTCCAGTTCGCAATGCAGATTGACACAGGGCAAGTGGTACTTCGAGCTGCAACATGTGCACATCAAGAATGGCAAGGTGGGGGTTGCTGTG